GTGTGTGTGTGTGAGAGAGAGAGAGAGAGAGAGTGAGAGAGGTGTTTGAATCATGCTTGCGGAGCATCTCATGCGCAGGGGTGCGGCACGTGCATGCACGCACGCACAAGTGATGCGGCGCATTAAAAAAGTAGAAAAACAGAAACGTCCTAGTTGTGTCCAGCGTCTTTTCGGAAGGTTGCGTACAGCGTATTAGCGAGGACCCGACGTCATGCAGAGATACACTTCAAACTTGTACTCCGTGAGGGTGGGAAGAGAATACATAGTCTGGATTCGAATTCAGGTCTGTGCATCTCTGCAGGTTATGGTCTGTGCATCTCTGCAGGTTATGGGTCACTATTTCTCTGTTTTCTCGCTTTTCTTTTCTTTTCTCGTTTTTCTTTTCTTAGGAATACGTGCAGTGGCCCTAACGGCCTCTACTCACAAAATGCACAAAAGACAAAACATATGTTATGTTTTGTCTTTTGTGCAGAACGGGAATAATACACCACCATATGTTTTGTCTTTTGTGCAGAACAGGCCCAACCGGCCGGGCGGCGTCCTCACTCAGCTTTTTCCAAATTTTTTGTGACATTTCAGGTGACTTTTGGCGCATTTTTTTGGACACCCTTTTTTCTTTCTGGAATTGCAATGTAGCCCAGGATCAACCAGGGCCGGAAACGCCTGGCTTGGGCACTGGGGAAAAAAAAAAAAAAAAAAAAAAAAAAAAAAAAAAAAAAAAAAAAAAAAAAAAAAAAAAAAAAAAAAACAAAACAAAAACGGCGCAACTGGGGAAAAAAAAAAAAAAAAAAAAAAAAAAAAAAAAAAAAAAAAAAAAAAAAAAACGTAATTCGCAATTATTGTATTCTGTTCATCCGATTGCATCTCAACTTGACTTGAACCCAGGTCTGTATTTCAGAGGGCCTATTTGGAGCCTATTTCTTCAGAGGACTATTAAAGGCCTACATCAGAGGGACTATTTCAGAAAACTACTTGAGCAGTCTATGGCGCTAGGCCTGTTGGTCTCGCCTGTTGGTCTCGCCTGTTCATCTGATGGCATCTGAATTTGAACCCGGGTCTGTATTTCAGGAGGACTATTTCAAGCCTATTTCACAGGACTATTTCAGGCCTACTTCAGAGGGACTATTTCAGAGGAGTCCGAGAGGACTATTTCAGAGACCTTTTGAAACCACCAGTACTTAGCCCGGCGATCGGCCGCGGAACTTTCCCGTTTACGCGCCGCACCTTTAGGGCTTCGGGGTACCAGACCACGATGGCTGGAAGCGCCTGCCGAAAAAACATTGAATCGGTACCCCGGCGCTTCGACAAAAAATGACGTGCAGGGGCATTCCAGGCCTGGCATCGATAGCTGGGCCAAGTACTGGTGGTTTCAGGAGTTTATGGAGCTAGGCCCGTCGATCTCCACTGTTCATCTGATTGCATCTAGATTTGAACTTGGGCCTATATTTCAGACCTATTTCAGAGGGACCATGTCAGAGGACTATTTAAGGAGTTTACGCGCTAGGCCCGTTGGTCTCGCCTGTTCATTTGATTGCATCTAGATTTGAACTTGGGCCTATATTTCAGAGGGACTATTTCAGGCCTCTTTCAGAGGGACTATGTCAGAGGGACTATTTAAGGAGTTTATGCGCTAGGCCCGTTGGTCTCGCCTGTTCATCCGATTGCATCTGGATTTGGACTTGGGCCTATATTTCAAGACTATTTCAGGCCTATTTCACAGGACTATTTAAGGAGTTTATTGCGCTAGGCCCGTTGGTCGCCTGTTTACCTGATTGCATCTGGATTTCAACTTGGGCCTACATTTCAGAGGGACTCTTTCAGGCCTACTATTTCAGGAGTTTATGCGCTAGGCCCGTTGGTCTCGCCTGTTCATCTGATTGCATCTGGGTTCGAACTTGGGCCTACATTTCCGAAGTTCATGGGTGTGTACAGTGTACCAACTGTGCTATAGTTCCGTTGGGTACATTTGTCGGTCTTTCTACCTTCATCTCCCACTGCTCCGTTAAGCTGTCAATGGCTCTATTAACATGGCCCTGTGACTACCCTCTCCCACCCCCCTTTTCCCACCCTTCTCTCACCCTTTGCTCTTGACCTCTCTTTTGTGCTCATCAGACCTTCTGAGCCTGTTGGCCTTCATGATCTGCTGTACATAAAAAGCGGCTTTTTGCACTGCGGCTTGCGATTACTTTGAGGTTTTGTCCTTCATACGTTGTTGAATGAGCGCTGGGTGGTTTAGGGTGATTCCACTGTTCAGCCTCACCTGTTGTAGTGTATGGTTTAGGGTTTGGGGGGGTAAGCATTTTCGGAGTGTTTTGGTGTTTGGTGGGTTTTTTTGGGGGGTACATGCGCGAGATCGTTCTACAGTCTTCCCCCGAACGCAACGTGCAGTCATTATAGCTGAAATGGGGCATCTTTCCGTCTACGTACAGATGTAATGACTGTACGTTGTTTCGGGGGAAGAAGGTGGTCGTGTTTTCGTAGTGTTGCCGTGGGCGCTATTTTCGGTAATAAAAGTCGCTAAAAAGACCTTTTTCCAGAGTGGGGATCCGAGCCGCCCGGGTGACCGGCAGGGGCCCAGGGGAGGTCCCGGGCAGCCTGGCCGGGCAGGGCACCCGGTTGGGGGCCGGGACCCCCCAGCGCACTCACCTGTCGGGGGATTTCGGACCCCCTTTCGGACACCCTTTGTGTGTGTGTGTGTGTGTGTGTGTTTGTGTGTGTGTGTGTGTGTGTGTGTGTGTGTGTGTG